AGTATTTATCAGATTGGGTAGGTAGTAGGTACACGAGTATGCGGAATTTCTACAACAAGTTTCATATTATTTTCTAACGAAAAATAATGTCCAAGTAGTTATACACTCACATGCCACAATAAACATAATAATATATTAATGTGCAAATGTATAATCTATATTGAGCCTGGAGTGTGGACACTGACCAGCAAGTGGACGTTCGTCTAATAAATATAAACATATACGTATTAGGTATACCCACTAATATATAAGAATGTCGGATTCGAGAAAGTTTGATAGGTGAATATTATTATAATGGCAGGACATAACAGTGTGCGACATTTAATCGTAGTGTTACACAACGTTTTCAATTTTCAAATATTATATGTAACTAAATATTTATGATGATATTATCATCATTTATCGTTTACGTAGGTACATAAATACATAATATTATAATATAGATAGTATTATGTATAAATATATATTTATATAAATATTGATAACATTTCGCAGGTAAGGCGATGATGCTGAATGCAACACACGGAGTGTCGGAGGTAATAAAATATAATAACGTGTATACTGTATTCATAAATAGTATAATACATTGGTCCACTCGAGCGCTCACATAATATTATAGAAATAAAAATAATCCGTAACAGGTGGTCTGAGTCGGCGACAGACAGTTGCATAATAATTTATCATAACACGCGTGCCTTGCCTAAACAGTAAAACACGTTCGCATAGTTTTAATATGATAGGTATAGTTTAATATAATAACTATTCATAACTAAGTCTCCGATTGAAATGTTCTAAAAGCCATAAACACAAAAGGAACAAAAAAAAAAAATTTTATAAAAAAAAAAATAGTGCCCTTAAAAATGTTTAACAGCATTTTTTAAGTTGTATTATGAAAACTCAGTTAAATGTTTAAGTTTTAACACTTAAGAAAGCTTATAATAATTATAATATAAAAAATCTTTTCATCTTCTATTTGGAAAAAAATCTTAGTTTTAAAATTAATCATAATGTAATGGTTAATAAATCATATTTTAAGATGCTTGGCTTCATTAACAGAAACACGAATGATTTCACAAATATTACCTGCCTAAAATCTCTTTAATACTCATTAATTAGATCGGTTCTTGAATTTGGTTCACTTATTTAGTCAAGTGACTATTCAACGTATGATACTGATTTCGATAATGTCCAATTTAAGTTTTTAAAAAGAATAGCTAATGTCATAGGTTATACTTTATCACATAGCTCGGTTAGATACCTACGATATTTAGTTATTTTAAATTATGATTAATGATTACCTGATTAATTTATTGAACACTAAAAATTTACATACAATAAAAATTAATAAAATAACCAAAATATGTCTACAAAAATAAAATTTTCAAGTACCTTATTGCTACACGAATCGAATTAAGTAGCTCCTAAAGAGTACCCTAAAAATTAAAATTCACTTTGGAATCCAGTCCCCACCTATTGATAAATACTACAGAACAGAGTTTCAAGTAAACCATGATTTATTGTATATACCTACGTCTAGTATAATAATAGACCTAAATCATATATTTTGGAACGCTGACGGACGAGTGAGGGAACGCGATCACAACGAACGCAATCCGACAAAATACCACATACGTATCTTAGTGTTTATACATGCAACGTGATCAGCATAATAAATTATTGTATATGGCGTTATATCTTACACATGATAATTAATTGGTAACGAAAGTGTATTGCCGAGAAAGAATTCTGAGAAAAACTAGCCTCTCTGATCGAGTCTATTAATTAAATTACAGTATAATAATAAATATAATAAGTACATATAACCTAACCTATAGATAATATTAATATTACTTGTACGCCGTGAAATTTCCTAGACCCGCAACTATTAACCAGAAACTACTGACCAGTAACCAGATACCAGCACATGGGTATCTTACAATATAATGACGATAGTTTTCTCAACCTTCCGTAAGCGTAAAACAATATAAATACAATTATGAATTATGAATTATTGTTATAATCTTATTTATAACTTAACGATTTATGAAAAGTGCGTTAAAACTTTATAAATACCAGTTTTCTCCATAAACAATGCTTACTATGCTTCTTTATAAGTTCTAGGCTTCTAGCATCGATAACTGATAAGTAGCAACTCTCTATATATAGAATCTACTGTTGTATTATAAATTATTATAATATAACCTATTTAGTCTACATTCGGCATATTCTATGATACAATATTTTTGAAAATATAATAATGGTGACGTTTTTTTTATGTTAGAATTTCAATGTTTCGTGCAATCTATTAAGTCTGAAGGAGATCAATTGAGTGCAACGGAGTACTGAAACGATAGTAACGGAAAATAATACTACATAGGTATAAAACAAATAGGCAAGTGAGTACCGATCTTCTATACAGTATCTAAATGAATAGTTGCAACGGTATTATAAATTTAAATTTTTAAATTTTATAAAATCATTGAATACGAAGAACGAGCGAAGACGGTCCGTGGCGTCTGTCACTCCGTCAGTCTATAATATTGATTATTGGGTAGGTTGTATAGGTAGGTATGATATTGTTGTAATTAATGTAATTTATTTTACTATTGGGAATTATTACTCACTACAATAGATAAAATTCATGGCATTAATTCATTTTTGACGAAATAAGGCATTTTAAATTAAAAATTGAGTACAAAAAATTTGTGAAATTTGATTTACGCTCAACTTTTTAATTAATTCCACAAACAATTTTTAAGGAACCTCATATTAAATTTTCAAGCTTTTTGACCAAGCAAAATATGTTTAATCGGCAATAATTTAAAATCAAAATGTGTTCATGTCTATAAATAACTCGGGATATTTTAAAAATAATATGGTAAATAGAAAATTATTTTACAAACATTCGGTGATAATTGAATGTAGATATCTACGGTTATTTTTTTAGAGTTACATACACCAAGAAACAAAAACCTTTTTAAAAACTACAGTCAATTTTTGAATTTTGACCCCCTAAGTCCCAACTATATTCAGTACCTATTCACCAAACTAAAACGTCCAAAACATTCATCGCTCTATTCAGAATCTGAAAAAATATTATACAAGGATTAAGGGGGATCCCTCATCCTCAATATCATCCCCCGATGTCTACGCCCATATAATATGTGTATTTAGATATTTATAATTCTCTAATATTATGATAATGAGAGTAGCATATTTGCATATTCTATTAACATTGTCTATAGGTAACAAAATAGGTAATTAAAGCTTACATTTTAAGAAATCTATTTTTTGGAGGGGGAGGAGCAAAACACATTTGATATTATGTACTAGGTACTAGGTAGTGTAAAAATTACTTATGAGTTTATGGTGATATTTTAAATAATAAAATAAAATAAGTAAGCAATTGATAACGCATTTATACTGTCTATACGAGCTAAGGAAGGTCTACTACAGCCTCGGGCCTATGTTTAACTAACATATTTTTATCGATTTACCGTGTGGCCTCCGTGGCGCAATGGCTAGCGCGTTCGGCTGTTAACCGAAAGGTTGGTGGTTCGAGCCCACCCGGGGGCGATCAATTTTTTTTAAATTTTTTTAAAAATATGTTATAAAAATCGTATTACAAACGAGCACACGGCAGTAAGTATGATATCCCGTTTTTTTCATGTAAAAAAATTAAAAAATAGGAAATATTTCGTACAATTAATATAACGTACATTAATAAATAAAAGTTAATGCATAACAATATAACATATAATACAACATCTCTATGGATAGCTGTTGATATACCTATGTATAGTGTTGGTGGTAGGCACAGTTTAAAATATCTTAAATCGTGGCCATAGCCCATAGATCCCTATGGGCGACAGGATCTAACTGCTAAACATTCACAATATACTAAGCAAACTTCCAAAGTTAAATAAAGAAAATACATATGCCTAAATGTTAAAATAATGTAAAAATACATAATTATTTTGCTGAACTTGATAATATTTTATGAGTTCAATAAAATTATATTGGTTAGGTTACATAGTTGTGGTATGCCTAACACCACTCTCCCCCTTTTTAAGGGGTATAAGCAATTTTTATGAACTTTTATAAGAATAAAAATCTAATAAGTCATTTTTTTTAAGTAATAATAGGTTTAACTAATTATTAGTATTTTAAAGTCATAATTTTGTTAGTTAAAATTAGAAATGCATATCTATACATAGTATACATTTTTAGTCATACATCATTATTGAGCGAAACTTAGAATTTTTAAAAAAATGAATTTTAATCAGATTTACGACATTTGTAGACTGTAGTGCAATAAATAGTCCTCTGACAAACAAATTTCTCAGTGAAAGAAAATACAGTATTAATTGTTTAACAAATATTTTTAACTTGTTTATTTTCACATTTATATTGTAATAAGATCTTAATGTAGGGATATAGTTGAAATATTGGTTATCGACAAATGGATATTTCAGTTGTAAAGTGTACTTCAGTATAAAATACAGCAACATTTATTTAAATACCATATGGGGCCTAAGTTATAAGTAAATATCTATTGAACATTTTACTATTAACCAAATCAAGATCTTACAAATGTATAACTCTCTCAATGAAATTATCATACTCTTTATCAGTAATACCAAACAAATTCTATTTACTATTTATTATAATAAAGTAATAATAACTCTATTAAACCTTTCCATATTAAATTTACACCGATGAAAAGAATAACTTTATTTAGATTATGAACAAATTGTCCAAACTGCTGGGAATTAGAGAATGGACAGTATTACATATTTATACTTATAGGCTATAAGAAATGCATAATATAAAAGCAATATATAATTTTTCTCCCTATTATAGGTTTTTAAAAATGCATAGAAATTATATAATATATATTATATTATATAGTGGCTAACTTATATGTATAACTGGGAACATAATATATAATATATAAGAATATGATTGTTGCTTAGATAGCATAACAAAAATATACATAATAAAATAGAATAAACATATTTTTAATAAAACAATTTCACAAATAAATAATGCCAGACACTTAGCTGGCCAATAACCACATAAAACAATATTTTAACTGTGTAGATACTACTTAACATTAAAAATCATTATACAATATATTTAAAAGATTTTCTTTAATTTATATACAAAAAAAGAAAACGACTAATTATAAATCAAATAATTTTATATTATCTATCATTAAAACTCAATAAAGGAAAATAACAAATAATTGATGGAATATACAAAATACAAATTTAACTTACATCATTTTCTTCAAATAAATATTTATAAGAGAATAAAAAAACATTTAGTAGGTGTATATTAAGCATTGATATTTTATTTCAATTATTTTTAATAATACTCCATTATCGAACTTGTTGACTGAGCCGTTGTAAGAATTCATAGTAAGATAATGATGATTCAAATTTATCTTCGATAAGTCGACTGTAAAAACGTAATTTATGTGGTCCATTGTCCCTAAAATATACAAAAAAAACTTTAATGATGGTCCAAAAATATTTGTTTCAGTAAGGGTAAAATCCCTATTTTTTTCCTGAAAGATTTTCCCATTCTAAAATTCTGTATTAATAATTATCAGTTTTCCTATTACATAAATGTACACTGTACAGTATACACATAAATATAAAGATATATCCAATATTTTATCATAAGAATGAAAAATTAAAAACTGATCATTTAGAGAACACTACACGGGCATTAGTTGTCTCTGTCTTACAAACGTACAAGGTACAACATGGCAAATATGTTCACTATAATACATTTTAAATCTGTAATTTTTAAAATTAGAATGAATTTATGTCTTATAAAATTTAAAAGCAAGGATATTTCGCAGGGTATATGAGATAATTTTATTGATATAATTAATTTAAAAAATGTTAGGATCAATTAAAAATGTGGACAAAATTAACAGTATTATAATAATCACAACTTACTTAAAAATAATATCAATAACATTATCCGAGATGCCCTAGAAATAATATTCTTGCCTTTAAGTTTTAGAAAATAAAATAAGAGTAAATTCACTCTAATTTTAGAAATTACAGAGTAAAATGTATTATTGTGAACATAAAATTTGCTATGTTGTACGTTTGTAAGACGGAGACAACAAATGCATGTGTGGCATCTTCATATTAACTAGGGAAATGTCTAATAAGGATATAACCATGAATCAACTAAGATGACATTGAAAATATTTTACATAAAAATGTTTGTGTTGGAAGGTTAGGTTAGGTTAAGCTGGGTCTACTTGGATGATTAATTGATTTCAAGATTCACTTCTACATAAAAAATGTAATTTTACGTTACTACTACAAATTATATAATCTGTGTTACTATTGTAAAACCTTCTCACAACAGAATCATTTGATACCAACTGATTCTTCCAGTATAGGAAGGGTAAAATATATACAGAATAAAATGTTTTTATAGGACTGTTGTTATTTAATATTTTCCATTGAGAGGAGATATCCATCTTAAAATTGGTTCTACTATACATAGTTCTGTAACCAAAATAAAACAAATTCCTAATGCGTTTTACTTGATTGGAATTTAACATTAAATACAATAGTATATAATCTTAACAAGTTATACTAACATATTTTCAACCTTTGTTAATTATTAAAAAAATCATTACAAAATAACTACTTACTTTATTATTTCTATTGGTAATGGATATGGCTTAAAATGTTGAAGATAAGAAATAAAACTACGTAACAAATATGATGGTTTGGAGTCCACTTCTGCCAATGAAGTCTGTAAAAAAAATTAATCAAATACAAATACTGTTTAGAACTAGACATAAATATATTTTATTAAATATTTGTTATTTATATTTTATACATAATTCAAATTTATTAGGTACCTAATACAATAGAATAATTTCAATACTTTTACGTCATTGTACGTGCCACATGTTTCTTACCAAGGAGTCGAGATTCAAGGGACTTAATTTCTAACCCTACCAGCAGACTTTTTTTAGTTCTCTCTATAAACTTTTAATTGAAATGTCTTGTTGATTAAATATACTATAAATTCATAATTTATACATCAATATCCGATCAGTGCAACAAATCGTTCAATAATATAAATTAAACATGATAAGATAATGATAAAAAATATTTAGTATTTATTCATTCTTGTACATATTGTACACTCTAGTTCAGTGGTTTTCAAACTTTTATTATACACGGCACACCATACACTTCAAAAAATATTCAAAGCACACTGACCTTTTTTTTTAGATGAACAATTCAATGCAATCGATAATTTATGGAAAAACCGAGGCACCCCTAGTGGATACTCGCAGCACACCAGTGTGCTGTGGCACCCAGTTTGAAAACCACTACTCAAGTTACTTTGTAAAATATAATTTGTTAAGTGTTGTGTATTACTTACAATTAGTTCTGGCATTGAATTAACATTCACATAACCAAATAATTGTTGTATAAGTTGATCCGAACACCTATGCCCAATAAATATGGTTAATGTTTCACTGTCATCCATTAAATAGACACCGTTGGATTCAACACGTTCTGCAGATAATTGTATGACTGGGGGAAGGGGAATTTCTGTCAACTTTTCATAATCTATTTTTGGCTGAGAAAAAAAATAATACTAAGTTATACATTGTTACTTATATTTAACTAAATAATAAAAAAATATTAAGATTTAAATTAGTTTTTTACCTGTTCCTCTAAAGCGTATATAGGATATAAATCTGGATATATATAATGAATAAGATTGTTCAATGGTAAACTTTTCATTTGACACATACTAAACATTCTTTCATCAAGTCGTGTTGGCTGATTAGTTCTAAATGCCGCCTATGAATAAATAAAATAGTGTATAACTAATATATTATAATATATACTATATTAAGAAGAAATAAAGTTGATCTCGATAACTTGAACCTTATCAACTCAAAAAGCTATATAACCCAAATTATTTTCTTGGACCTTAAAGTGTCCATAAGTTGTATTTTATGAGGAATACAACTCGAGAAATGCATTGTCAAATTAATGTATGTCCCTCTTAAGATTCAAGTTATTGACAATATACTGTACTAAAATACGAGTATAAATACTAATATTGTATAATAAATAAACCATTTTTTAGGTTAGAATTATTACTATATAAAACTTATTACTTAAAACACTCACATGTTTTAATGTAGCTAAAATATACAACGGGAACACTTTTAATGATAAAGGAGACAGCATCGTTCCAGGCCCATTGTAGGATGAGCAACCAAGTTTGAACGCAGAGAGAGAATCTGAGATAGCATTGAAAAATGCTTCACGTGCATCAGATAATGATTTTTCTGTACTTCGGTCAACAGCTAAACAATACACAATTTGTAATTATAATAACTTTTAAATTGATAAAAATTATTTTTTCTTTCTTGATATTCCTTACCCATTTTGGCTATCAAACATGTTATCGCTTGTTGATCAGCATTGTGAAAAACATCATCTAAATTTTCGGTAACTGGTATGCAAAGTGTATGAACTCGAATGCGGCGTTCCGCTATAACATACAATTTTTTATAAAATTAAAAAGTTCAATTGATTTAGGAATAGTAAATTATACCATTGCTAGAAGTGTAAAGTAATGCTGCCTGGAAACAAACAACAGAAACACCATCCAAACTGTCTTCAATAGATAACTGCATACCATATGCATTGTCAGGATTAACATTGGGCAACATAAGCAAATCGGAAGAGCGTACAAAGAAATTTCCATGGAAAGAGTGTATTGCCACACCTCGTGTACACCGTAGTCTCAAGAGAGCTTCAAAACCAATTTTACGAGACAAATATCGATCAAAACAGTTTATAAAGCGTGTTACTATAGTTGGGGATTTAACATCAAATTGAGGGAAATTATGTATACATCCAGATGAGTATTTTGATATTCCAGCTAAAAGTAACAATATTCAAATTAGAATGAATTATTAGTTTAATATTGTATTTACTTACAAATAGTAGCAACATCTAAATATTGCGAGGACACGAAAAACATGTCAACAGCAATCTGTTCACCACTACATTCAAGAGCTAGTTTTTTATAGAAGTCGGTAGATGGAGCCATATGCTGAACACGGTCACCAGTGTGGGGGTTTCCATCATCTCTTGATTCTAAACTACCTGGCCCACAATTTGGTAAACTAGCTTGGAACACTGTAACGCGGCCTCCACGTGGAGCCAATATTTTAAAAGCTGCCTGAAGTGCAGCTCCTAAGGCACAACCAGTGTTATAAGACTCTCTATAATTATTGGGTAAACTTGTCAACAAATCTTTTATAGCTGCCTTATTTTCTTCTAAATTTACCATTAGACCATCAGGCAATGGTAAAAATATTTCTAAAAACAATTGATACAATTAGTTAAGAAAATCTAAATCCTAGAAAAATATACATTTCAATGCTTACCAGATATATCACTAACGATAAGCTGTTTAGGCTGTCCTCCATCACTATTTGCTATTTGATAAAAATGAACAGATGAATCATATGTGATGAAACCTATATTAGTTCTGGAATCTCCAGGTATGTCATCTGCCATAATTTTATTCAAAATCCGATCACATACAATTTCTAAATATCCAGTCAAAGTTGCAGTACGCGATACGTCCAAAAGGAATAGATATAATGCTGGTTGTGGAGGTCTAACCTAAAATTAATAGGTAGAATGAAAAATGTATTTTGTAAAATTGCGAAATGTTGTATTATTAAGTACGCCCACAAACCATATAGTCTTGTGAAGCTATGTACTCAATAGTAGCATTTTGTATTTCTGGTCTCCTAGAAGGGTCACCCAGTGTTTTAGTATACGGATCAATTTGAAACTCACCAGGTACTATAAATAATACATGAAATATTGTATAGTTTAAATAAGTTATTATATCAGATTATGACATTATACACACATTCATTAACTCTGTAACATAAGTTACATTTCCAATGAGCATTATCAATAAACTGAACAAATGGATTTATATATGAACGGCAATTCCGACATCTTGTGATAGTTTCACATTGTATCACAGTTAAACGCTAAAATAAATCAATTGTAATAAGAAAACATTCAGTTCTAGATAAACAAGAAATAAAATAGACTTACTGAAAGATCTTTATAAGGATGTATTAATATCCCTAATGGCAATCGACTCTTGTCTAGCAAACTCTTTGAAGCTGGAAACTTATTTAATGTACATCGGAATATACTAAATTAAATAATTACAAATAGTAAATAAATTATTTTTAATTCTAATTTAAATCTAAAACCATACTCTGGAGAACAGTTATCACAATTAGCATATCCTTGAGGAAGTTTAATCTCTGGTGGTTGAACTCCATCACCTGGCAGCACGTCTCTTGATTTTAATAAGTCCAGATTGTCATACCCCTTTTAAATACATATAATTATTGTAGTTAGATTGTTTAATTTAAACTATATCATAATTTACAACCACTGCATACATAAGTTGATAATAGACAAAGCTATTAACTACATATCTAAATGTCTTTAAATTTGCATTAAAAAAAATGTAATACATTTAATTAAAAATCTGATTATTCAAAAGTGTTAACTTTTTATAACATACTAAATCATATTATCTGAACGATGGTTAAAGAAATGGATGCAGTAAAAGTATTATACACATAAATAAACTTACCCATGTCTTGGCAAAACCTTGTTGTACAACTGAAGGATTCTGTTCTGGTCTATACTGGTCTTGCTGTTGATTATGATAACCTTGATGTCCATGGAGAGTATTTGGTTGCTGGTAATTTATTTGACTAGAAAAGCCCATGTTACTTTGTGGTGGGTACCCTTTTGGTGCTAATTGTACATTCTGATTTGAAGACTGAGGCTGTTGGACATTTACATTTCCTTCAACTTGATTGTAGTAATTATTAGAAGACAAGGGATTTGGTGGTAACATATTAGTTCCAAGCCTTTGACTTTGTTGATTAACACTGGGAGGTGGAATAGGCAAATTAAGAGCTGAGTTCATAGTTAATGGCTGTGAAGACATTAAGTTAGGCTGGCTTGAAAAATTAGCTGGTGGCCACTGGTTTTGGCCTGGTTGGACTGTATTTGATTGATTACCAAACTGGTTACTTGAGACATGTTGAAGATTTTGTTTTGGCAATACTTGTTGACCAGGTTGTTTACTAAATGGTTGAGAAAGATATTGATTTTTGACTGTTTGAGACGGTGGAAAATTGCTTGGTTTGGATTGATGATGAAACGGCTGTGATGGATACTGATTAGCTGCTTGTTGAATTGGTGGAACACCTGATATAGATTGATTAATTATTGGTTGCGACTGATATTGATTGGCTGTCGGTTTATTTGATGAACCGAGGTCTAATCTAGGTTGATTAGTGAGTATTTGAGGAGGAAACTGATTTACAGAAGTTGAAACTGGTGGAATAAAATTTGGTGTTTGTTGGTTATTGGATGCTTGTAAATTATACTGATTAGATGTTGTTTGAAGAGAAGGGACAACATTTGATTTAGGTTGATTACTGAATAACTGTGGTGGTAACTGGTTAACAGCTGACGGAATAGTAGTTGGTGTATGTTGATTATTAAATGGTTGGAATGGATACTGACCAGTTGTTGATTGAATATGAGCAACATTTGATTTCGGTTGATTATTTATTATATGTGAAGGTAACTGACTTGTCATTGAAGGAACATGCGGACTCATATTAGATATTGTCTTGTTATTGAATGGTTGTGATGCATACTGATTAGACAATGTTTGAAGAGGATAGACATCTGATTTAACTTGATTATTAAACGTCTGTGATTGAAATTGATTGGTAGCTGATGAAACAGGCCATGTTGTACTTGGTGTGGATTGGTTTATAAACGAATTTGCTGCAGTTTGATTATGTGGTATAGCCATTGATTTTGTTTGATTACTTAAAATTTGTGGAGGAAACTGGTTAATTCTTGATGGTTGAACATGTGGAACCGTGACTGATTTTGTTTGATTACTAAACCCTTGTATTGGAAACAAATTTGATGCAGATTGAAGAGGTGGAACAGTATCTGATGTTGATTGATTACTAAACATTGCTGGTGGAAATTGATTAGTGGTCGTTGAAACAATTGGTGTTGAACAAGAACTTGATGCAATTTGAGAAGGTGATGCAGTATTAGATGTTGGTTGATTACTGAACATTTGTGGTGGCAATTGATTTGACACTAATGGAATTGTACTAGGGAATAGTTTATTATCAAATGGTTGTGTTGTACATGGATTTGATGCAGACTGAAGATGCTGTATGGTATCTGATTTTGGCTGATTACTGAATATCTGTGTTGGTAACTGATTACTTTCCAATGACATAGATGGATTTGTAGATAGTGTTGGTTGATTAGGAGGAATTGAGGTTGTTTGTAAAGGCTGTATAGTACTTGATTTTAGTTGATTACCAAAACTTGTTGGTGGAAATTGATTAGATGCTACAGAAACAGCATCTGATGTTTGTTGATTATTAAATGGTTGTGTTTTATACAAATTTGAAGCAGACTGAAGAGGCTGTATATTGTTTGACTTTGGTTGGTTGTCAAACATTTGAGGTGGCAACTGATTAGATGTTGATGAAATTTCATTTGATGTTACTTGATCATTAAAATGTTGCTGAGGAAATTGGTTAGCTTCTAATTGACTAACTGGTTTATTATCTAGTACAATTTGATTACTTATTGATGGTGGAGAAACTTTGTTTGTAGGTAGATCTGAATTTAAAGACGGCAAATTTGTTTCTTTACTTGGTAGTGATTGAGACTTGTTATTGACTTCTGATAATTTAGGCGCTGAACTATTATTATCATGCAATGTAGTAGAAAAGTTTTGAAATGCAATAGAATGTTCTTCTTGATCAAGAGATGTGTCTTTTGAAAAATAAGAGGTATGTGCTAATTGCTCCCGAATATGTATTTTATTATCAGATATATTGTGTTGCTCATCAATGGCCATTTTGGAAAATTGATTATTAGGTGTCAATGTTTCTGCATTTTCTAATGACTCATAATTCAAACTATTTGATTGAGTCAAAACAGGTTCTGAAGAATGTAAAGTTTCCTCTGATGTCACGTCAGAATCTGATTTTAAATTTTCATCTATTTGAATTTCATTTTTTACCAACAGTGGTTGCTGATTTGAAGACAATGAATTTGTTGAGGTATTTTGTGCATTAGAAAATAACATACCACTGTTTGGTTTGTCTGAAGTAGAATCAATTGAAACAATGGGCTTATTTTGTGTTTGCAAGTTTTGAAATTGATTACTAGATTGTAAATTACATGAGTGTTGATTTAACACAAATGTATTATCTACATTTGATGAATCAAAATAATGACTAACACTGTGACCTGCAGTTGGTATAGATTGTTGTACAGCCACATTTTGGTTGTTTATTGATTGGGATACAAAATGTATAGGTTTATTAGAAAATTGATCACTTGAAGTTTTTAAATTGTCATCAATCATAAATTGTTGTGGTGTAAATTGATTTTTTGAAAGTTGCTGATTTTTTAACTCTAGTTGAGAAGTTATACTATTAGGATTAAAGAAATCATTAGACTGAGTAACATTTTGAAAAGATGATGGAGACAACAATTTTTCTTCATTGCGTTGGTCTTCTTTAAATTGAACATCTATGGGTTTAGATTGATCAACTGTTGTTTCTAGTTGATTTCCAAGGATGTTATTAATTGGTGATTGTGAAAGTTTAATATCAAACTCAGATTGTATAACATTTGTAGAGTCTTGATTTAATACATCAATTGGACTAGTTTTAGTAACATTAGATAAATTTAATAAGTTACTAGAATGGTCATCTGATTTTTGATACTGTGTATGCTGGTTATCTTGAACTACTGTTGTAGGCACGGAAAATGAACTTCTTAAAGGAACTGCGGTAGTAGCTGAAGTTACAGGACCAAGAGACTGAGTAGATATTAATGATGAATTGTGAGCTATAGGTTGACTATCATTTAACAATTCAGATGGTTTTGAAGATGTATACATTAAATGCTGGTTAATAGATTCAATACCTTGTTCATTTTGGTGATTATATAAATTGGTAGCACAAGAATTCATAGATTGACTACTAGTTTGGTAATTTAATGTTTGAGCTGATGATGTAATCTGTTCAAAAACTATTTTATCTTGTTTATTACTAGTAACATTGGATTGTAATTTAGAATCAATTGGGGGAAAATTTGAGTTTTGTACATCAGGTTGAATGTGTTTGTTTTGTTGGTTAAAATGTTCTGACTTAAGGTCATCATTATAATTTTGAACACTTATTGATGCCTGTTGATTAAATATTTCAGTATTGCCATAAGGGAATGATGGCTTACTTTGTGAGTGTTGTAAAATTGAACTACTCGATGAACTAGGCTGAGTTGAAGTGTTTGTTTGACTAAGATATAAACCTTTATTCAACGGAGAAGCATTTTGAATGTTTGACGATTTATCAGTATTATAAGATAAATAGTTAGTTATGCTATTATAAATAGAAGAAGATGAACTTTGTTTATTCTCATAATTAAATTTTGTCTGCTCAAAATCATTTTTAGTCGTGTAAGAATCAAATGTCTGAGTTCTCGGCATGTTTAAACTTTCTTCATTAGAGCGAGATTCAAGATTTTCTTGATTTTCTAAACTTGGCCCTCTTTCATTCTGGCTAATATTGTCAAATAAAGGAATGTCTTCAATAATATCATCATCATCTTGATTATAAGCACTATGTAAAATAGAATGTTGGTGATCATCAACACTATCATTTGTATTAAGACTCAAATCAGCAAATTGGCTAGGTACAGGAAACTCATGATTTGAAGTAGAAATTGTTTTTGATTCTTTTGTTACATGGCATTCAGTACCTTTACTTAACGTATGTCGTAGAAATACATTATTCGGATGTGTACTTTCTGAATCCTGATCTGTACTTTCAGAGTATAATGAAGAAGTATGCTGTGGTGAACTTTCAGTAGATGTTTCTTCCATATCATACTCAATAATTTTGGGTTCAGGATAAGGTTTATTTGAAGAAAAATAGTTGGTATTCATATTTTCTGCTATGGATCCTTTAGTAGTATTGTATTTAGCTACTGGATACAGTTCTGGAACTTTTTTAGATTGCTGTGGTAACAAAGCAGTAAGATGAGGTTGTAACTGAAAGTCTGGATTTATTGCGTAGTTTTCAGCATTATTAGATTGAGCAAGGCTTACAACATTCTGAAAAAAAATGTAATAGAAATAAATAAAATATTATAAGTTTATGTTTAGTGTCATAGAATTAATTTTATCTGTTTAATTAATTAAGATAATTAGTTAGGTAAACATAGTTATTTTCTATTAATTATAAAACTAAATGTAAACACGGTTTAATAATTTATGATTTAATATAAATACTTTGGAATAACTTAGTAATATGCCTAATGAGTGTTTATTTTACATTAAATATATGTTGTGTTCAAAATTTAAATATATAGAACTAGCCAGAGCCGTAGAAACCCAGATACAAGATACATAATTCTGTTCCACTCACTATTCATTGAGATTACCTAGCATGTAGAATCACTTCAGACCAGGTACTGGTTTAAAAACTGAATTAATGATAACAGCACTTAGTGTAGCTTATAAAGCAAAATACAAGATAAATATAACCTAATGGTCAAAATTAAATTAAAATGTTTTTATTAAAAATAATAATCAGCAAGACATATTATACCCATTTGGGTACCTATTTAACTAGTTGAATGCCAGTATCAATGAGCTCTTGACACAAGTAATGAACGTTGACATACAGTAATCAGTTTTTTATTAGGTGACTATAGCAGAACACATTTGAAATTTCTATTGGCCATTCATTACCATATAGACCTTAGATTATATACTAGTGTATGATCTAAGGAATAGACTATTGCGTAAAATACTAAAATCTACCGGACGCCTGCAGGTCAAATCATGTTGGCCATTAGATATAGACGACTAATGCCAATGTAATTACTAATTAAGTCCCCAAAAATAAGCTCTACGGGAATATTATGATCCTGTTCTGTAGAATCAACAAAATTTGATATATATATTTTTAAGTGATAGATAGGGTTATATTCTACAGGCTGCGTAGAACTCTATTTTTCAATATTTTAATCTCAAACTTAATAATATTCCTTAAAATAGGTAAAAATAAGACAAATAATAAGACATATTTTAAACTTTTTTTATACCATTATTTGAAATAAATTAAAAAATAAGAGTTCATTGTGGTCTGTAAAAAGTCTTCTAAAATTCAATTATCGAAATCTGACAATTCTACAAGACCTGAGGATTTTACATGTCATTTTGTTTGATATAATACACTAATCACCTCAAAAGTAAGGTGGCAATTAAAGTATAAAATATTATTTTCAAATTTTATAGAATTGCGGAAAATTTGAAAAATCAGCTCCGGGCACTTTAATAGATTTCAATTCAAATAAATGTACTCACTGGAATTGATGATTGAGAATTTTCATAAATTCCTTTAGCATTAGTCCTAGGTGGCCCAGAAGAGCGTGGTGGTAGATTAGCAGACTCCATTGGGTATGAATGATTATTCATTAATGGAACTGCATTAGGATTTGAATGCATTTTCTCATGGAACGGTGATTGATCTGAGAGAGATGTGGGTGGTATGCTTCCTAAAACAATAACAATTAATTTAGGTTATTAAAAAATAAAAACTCACAAAACAACTAAATAGGTATTTGTTATCTAAGTTAAATCTAAGTATTAATAAAACAATATTGGAAGGTTTTTTTAAAAATATAACACATACCTAGGTAATATTTGTATATTTAATAGGTACTTGTGAACATTAATTTATTTATTAACATTAGGGGTCATAATATAGATACTTGGTTATTAAAATATATGTGTACACAGGTGTGTACATGAGCTTTGCATAATTTCACTGAATTAAAATATGTATTAAAATTAAAAGGGCATAAGTAGGTGTATTAAATATTTGATAAAGTTTTAATAGGTGAATTTTAATAGGCTTAATTTTGAGTTACAATTGGGGCAATCACTCAAATAAATCCCTATATAGATATTTACCGAAAATGCATGTACATGTAAATAGTCATGAAGGTACTCTCTAGGTACTTTCTCACCGTTTTAGTTAAGAACATAGGTAATTAAGTAATTTATTATATATTCAATGGAGATTCCTAATTAAAATGTTGTAGTACCTGGGTATTTAATAATATAAACCTATGGCTATTAATCAAAACAACTAGGTTTAAAATTATAAATAGATAGAAGTACCTAAGTATTCATTTTTTAATTATAAATTTGTCATTTGTACCATTATTATTTGCTTGTTTTCAATAGGAAAATTAGAAAGTACCTAAGTTAAAACAATTTCATGTAACATGTTCAAAATAGATTGAAAACATTTTTCTGTGGCTTAGATATGAGACAAGAATTAATTTAATAAATATTTTTGGTGTCCAAAAATGTGAAATATAAATTGTGTATTTAACATGATCTCATGTACCTAAATGTATTATTTAATGACCAAACCACAAGTAGGAAAAGCATTTACCTACCTAGTATAATAGTATACTATTTAACTATTAAAATATATTTTAGTTTGTAAATTGTAATAGGCACATTAAGAGTTTAAAACTACCTATACCTTAATAAAAAAATGAGTAAGTATGTTAGGTACCTATAAAATTATTTAGTGACAAGAATTACCAGAGTAATTATTGGTTGACTGAATCCCATCGGCAGACTGTCGGTTGAACGCCGACTGTCCATTAAAAAAGGAATTGGCTGTGTGAAAAAAAGAATACGTTTTGATCTGAACAAGCTCAATGGCAAACGGCAGGTAACATTATGGTACTACTATTATAAGTGTTGTGTCAGTAGATAGGTACACTTACGGTTTTGCTGGAAATAGTTGTATCTGTGTTCCATGGTGCGTCCGTGATTCTAGTCAGAAACCTGAAAAACGTACAGGACATGCGAACTTGACACAGTTTGACAGTACGGTTTATAGCTCAAGGTTTTCCGGTCGAGGGGAAGGAGAGAGCTCAGAGTGGAGGAGAAAATTATAATCACGTAAGCAAAACAGTGTCCGTCCACCAACCACTCAAATTATAACAATATCACAACATGCCTCTACCCGAAATCCACACGTACCGAGCGTTACCCAAATCGTACTATCTCAGTTTCGTCACGCTGATAATGGCGAAAGGATGTTGTGTCAAAAATGCCAATTTCTTATTTGCAGGTTGTACGAAAACACGTCTGTGGGTGTCAACCTCAGCTGCACTGGCCGTTCGTGCAGTCGTGTGTACGCAGGGCGCGAACGTAAGACGACGGCGGACGGAGGTTCTGCGCGACGAGCAAGTTGAAACGGCCAACGGGCGACGACGGCTTCGGTGACCGGTGTTTAATATCGCAGTAATTAATGCAAAAACGATAATGACATTTTATGCAACGACGACATTAAACAGTAAACACTACCTATTGTGGCGTTAATGAATCGTCGTCTCCGTTCGCCGCAATAACAAATTATTGTTGCGAGTTGCGATTGTCGATTAGAATTCCGTTTTGCGCTATCTATTCTTTCGCATGTGTGTGCGTGACGTGCGTGTGCGTATACCACATAGAGTCAGTGGTATTAATTCTTTATCTCTGTGGCATAGACACGTCACGTTCACGAATCGCGGGTTAGTATAATAAAATTGTAGTAAGTTGTTGGTCACTGGTGATAAGAGTGGCGGCAACTGAACACGCCCACAATTCGCTGGTGATTACGTGGAACCTTAGTCATTATGAAATATTTTTTTTTGTAATGTTGTAAAGACTAAATAGTAAATAATGATAAAAAATTATACATATTACATAATACATATATTTTTATATTATGCACTGTGGATGAATAGGATGATAAACATACACTGAATTTTATTGTACTGTTGTATGATTTCTCACGATTTAAGATATACTCGTGGTCCTTAACTTGGTTATTAATATGTCTACTATGAAGATAACGATTAGCGGGAGACTTATAGACTATAATAGACCTTATACTAAGGTATAGTAAAAGGTCTATGGAGAGACTATAATATATTTTCATGTTCCACAACTATTATTCGTCCCACTATCAATCTTAGATCCAGGCGCGGATCCAATTCACATTATCGGGAAGGGCGGATTATAAAAATCTAAATATATTTACTATTTACCTACTGGTAAATACGAGTAAATATTTATATATTTATACTATTAAATATGCAATAATTGCTTATTAATTTATTAATTTTTTTTGAATATTTATTTTCTTAAGCTGAATTGAATGCCTTTATTGAATTATTTACCCTCATTCGGTCATAATATTGTTATCAACAATTTATAAATGTGTGTTATTAAAATAAAATACGACGATTTGTGACTGAATAATATTATAATACATTTACATAGGATAACACAAAATATTAAAATGAAATAATACGGCCAACGTGGGGGGGGGGCAGTCGCCCCTACGACCCTACCGCCCCAAACTAGATCCGCAGTAACGTATCATCTAGATCCCCGTCCAACTAGATCCCCTGTAGTCGACTATTTTTATAGATCGGCTATGGGAACTAGATCCCCAAGAGTCAATTAGTTACCCTATCAACTAAATCCCCTTGGGCCATCTAGATCCATATATACAGTCTCTAAGATCACCAAATTTATATTTTCCCATAAAGATCTAGTTGATCTTAAAATGAGAGATCTACTTGACCAACACGGGAACCGTTAATAATATAATTAGTACAATTAAAATTAATTGCATTGTATAATATTGTTACCTATTTATTTATAATTTACTATGTACGTACTACAATATTATCCAATAGATATCCATTTTATAATAATTTATATGCAATCTTAAAAAAATGAATTTTTTTATTGATGAAGTCAAAAAGATTTTTTAATCAAATATCTATAGCCTATAGATAAGTCTACAAATTAAATATATGTTGTAAAGTATTATATGTTGTAAACCTATTACAATAAATAATTGATAAAAAGTTGCCATCATCTACAAATCATTTTGCAGATCGGTGAATACATAATGGGCATAAGCGAAACCAGTGGTGTGGTGAGCTATTTTAACACAAGGAGAAAAGATTTTAGTCTACCCACCCACCCAATAGTTTATAAAACATACAAAAAAAATTACGTTAAGTTAAGTTTATTTTTTACTTAACATCTATTTACACAATAACGATACATTAATTAAACGTTTGAAGTTTTAACGCATACATACTCGTTGATAGCTTCTACTGCTTCTAGATTATTTTCTTTTAGATTCTGAGCGGAGCGATGAATGTATAGGTATTGTCGTATTGATTTTACAATGACGGATGATTTATTTATTATTTGTTTTTTGCTTCAATTTTCTTCAACAGCATCTTTTATGGTAGGAAAGTGAATCTAGTTGGTACTTTGGGGGTCAAAAGTAAAAAATCTTTATAGTTTTCCAAAGCAACAGGAAAAACAAGCAAAACATTTTACGCAAAACCAGTTCGAATTCGATTTTAGTCTTTAATGTAACTCGAAAAAAAATCAACATAGATACATGAAGTTTTCACTGAGTATTTATTTGTGTTAGCATTTTCTATACACCATAAAAATTTCAAAATATTTTGACTCGAGTTGAATTATTTAAAGGCATATGAAATTTTCGATCATTACCTATTTGTTTTTTTTTTTAACTTATGTCGATAAAAAAAATGTTAGCTCTATCAAAAATCTTGTAAATATAATACAAGGTCTCATAAGTTGTTAGTGGAAATCTAAACAAAAGTTGAGCGTAAATCCACAGTTACTTTTTATGAGCTATAGTGTCGACCTGGCCAAGGCAGCTAGGCAACAATCGCTACCTGGGCCCCGGCCCGTCTTTTTTATATGCATATTTAAACGCAGTTGTGACTTGTAGCACGAGCTAAGTAACATAATAATAGTAAAAAAGTAAAAGTGGAATTATTGGGTGAATTTTATAAAATATCATAATATTAATTATTCATATTGATAACAAATAAAACATGGAAAGTCCTGATGTTTACGAACAACCGACCGATATAATATTTATTTATAGATTACCCATGGATATATGTTGCATATTGATTTTATCGTTTTATCATATACGCCGTTTGTGGTCATATTATTAAAGAGATTTTAACATTAAATTATAATAAGTTTGTGCCGTGGTAATATAATATTTGTCATAGACGATAAATCATATTCATTAGTCAGTCACTGTACAAGTTACAATACATTAAAAAGCTTGAAGAATATCCTATGGATGTATTGATATTTGATAACTGTAACAAAGTTATCCAATGTTAATATAGATTCTGTATTACTTGAATTGAAACAATTTGCCTCTCATTATTTTAATATTGTTCCAAAAAACCATGGCATAATGAACGATAATGATGGTGAAGGTGATATTATAGATGAAGCTATGACATCTGATTCAGAAGATGAATTTGACTTAATAAATAGTAATTCCTGTTGGAAATGTATTGCATGTGCTTTTAAAATGTTTACCCAACTATCTTGTCATTCTGGTACAAAACTTGTGTTAAGTTTTTAAATATATAATGATTTTGCCATCAACTCAAGTCACTTGTGAAAAATATTTTCTAAGCTAAAAGTAATTAAAACAACATTAAGATCGTCACTCGATTAGCAACATTTAGAACAACTAATGTTTTATACTTATGGCTATAGAAAAAGATATTACTTTAAATGAAGATAAAATAAAACTAATAGATGACATAGGTACCAAAATCTTCAAAAGAAATGACAAGACTTTTAATATAATATATTATATGGATTTATTTTATATGTACATAGTTTTTTATATAAAAGTTGAATATCTACCTGTAAATTTAGAATACGAGAATTTTTAGTTTTTTTTAAATGTAAAATGACAAATATAGAATCTATATGCATAATATATTACATCTTAATGACCATTTTTCATATTTAAGATTTATTTAATTTAATTATAATAAATACATTTTGTAATATGGGGGTTGGGACTTGGGGGCTTCGGGCCCTTCCAAATAAAATCCTGCCTGGGCCCTTTAGAACCAGGCCGACACTGCTTACGAATAACTATTATATATTTATATTAATATGAAGACAGGTATTACATACCAAATATTATGATACATATTAAAATTAAATTAATGACTTCTTAAAGAAAAAAAAACAATAAATTAAATTAAATTAATGTAGTACAAAGTACAAAATAATTTTAGTTTAACTTATAATATTATTATAGATTGCCATCACAAATGGGGGATCTAGTAGATCAAGGGTGATCTAAATGGAAAATGAGTAATTTAGATCCCCAACTAGGACAGTGCCAACTAGTTTCCTATGGTTACTTAGATCTCCTGTCAACTAGATCCCGTTGGGTCATTTAGCTGATCTTGGGGATATATTTGGATGGGGATCTAGGTGGCCGTTCACCGGATCCGGGGATGCTTAGATCATATCCGATATATGTATGATCTAATAGGTTCCAATAGACATTTGTCCCAATTCGTTTTTGGAACAAATATTCATTGGATCAAATGTTATTTGAATAAGATCTATGTTTTCTTCGTTGAACGCTTGTCGGAGAGAAATATTGTCCGTGCTTCGGTGTATTTTGAACATCAGGTGACAATGTGATCGATGGAAAGGTTTTCCTTGCATGCTGGGGCAGGTTCTTTGGAGTTAAGGAAGGAGTGTGTGAGATGAGTGTAGCCTATTCTGGCTGAATATTATTATAGTCATATTATTTTCATAACCTTCCACAAATTGTCAAAATCAGTAAAGGATATATTTAGTAGGTAAGCCATGCATTTTGCCGTGATTTTTTAAGCATGTTCATCCAATTTTTATATTCTAAAATTGTACATATATTCAAATTTAAATTTTTTGAATTTTTAAATACATTTGAAGACCATACTTTTGAACCTCATGAGGATGATCCTGTGATAATATAAACTTCTTTTAATCAAAAAGGAACCTCTTTTAAAATTAAAATTTTTCAGAATTTTGAAAGAAATCTTTGTTAGCCTAAATGACAGATTACAATACAATCAAAATAATTATTTTATAATTATTCTGTAAAACTGTAGGTAACCAATGGAAAACATTTAAATTAATAAAAAAATATTAAGCAAGTTAAGTAGACACATATTTTATTCCCTAGCCTAGTGATATTCATTAAATAAGTGAGCCCTAAACAACTAGGATTTTGCTTTATCTTTTTATAATACGTGTTACGAAACACCTTGTTCATAGAATAATGATAATAACAATTAACAGATATTTAACCTCTATGTACCTCGAAAATGAAACACTTAGTTGTATAATAATTGTAAGTATACATTTTTTTCGAAACCGAAAGTTTTCTGCTCCCTTTTACAATAACCCACTCAATGTAAGACTTTTAAGTGTTTGAACAGATTCAATTGCATATTTATAGATTGGACTATATAGTATTGAACTATAGGTGAATAATATTGTGAAAACTGAAAACATAATGTAACGAGTAACTCACTCATTCATAGTTTTTTTTAAACAAATATCTAAAAAAAAATGAA